GGGGATTTGTCCCTTTTCTTGCCTTTCTTCCCTGATTTGTTGTTGCTGCTACTAGCTCCATTATGAAATTTGAGATTGACAGAGTGTTCCTTCAATTTCTTTAATCTCCCTTCCTCTTGTATTAACATAGCCTTGATTTCCTAAATGTTCCATTTTTTCTTGAGGGTGTTGTAATTCACCTGGAACTGACCAAACTCAAGAGGAAGTGAGTTAATAATAAATTAAACTAAAAAGAATTCATTCATATCCATTCCCATCGACTTCAATTTGGCTGTCAAATTCTGCATGTCAGTCACATGATCATGAATCATGCCAGTCACATGATCATGAATGGATTGTGACCAATCAAACTTCTTGGTTGTTAGCTCACTCATCAAGGATCCTACGATGGACTTGTCAGCTATGTTTGATTGGGAGTACTCTTTTATTTTCAACGTGTACTCTCTAGCATTATATATTTTGTCTTTGTTCGATTGTACTTCTGAGTTTGGAACTCTCTTTGCTTAACTTGTATTTTCTTATGCATTTCCTACATAATAGAATAATTTCTTTTACCATTTTCAGAAAAAAAAATTTTTTATTGGAGGCAGCTAAATGAATTAAAATGATGTTTGGACTACACTGAAGGGAGAATAATTTTCTTCTTTTAATAATTTTTATTAAATTGAAAAAATTAAAGAGATTCGAATTCTATACATCTGTAACACCCTCCACCCAGTCCGTGAGACCCGACGACGGAGGATAACTACTTCTTTGAGTGACGTAAAGAAGTAATATAAATATTACTTCAGTGATATTATCTAAATAGTATCTAAATTCAGTGACGTAAAGAAGTAATTCCTCAAATTACTCCATAAATATTATCTAAATTTTTTTTTTTTTTTTTTTTTTTTTTTGAAAAATAGATTGAGAAAAATCTTGCAGAAATACTGTAAGAATTTCCCCCTTTAAAAACTGAGCTCACCAAACATGTGAATACAAAACACTCCCAATTAAACTTCAAACTCCCTACATCTCCAAATAATCATCATAACACAATAACACTTCTATATTTTCATAATTATATCAATCCTAAATAGCATTTTAATATTCATCAATTAATTGCATTCATTATATATATCAAGTCTTAATAAACTAATCATACTAGCTCTCTTCAAATATTTTATATTCAATTCATTTAATGAATCTTATGCTTATCTCCAAATATATACACCAACATAATTGATAATTTACATGCCTAAGTTATGAATTCAAATAACATAATCTCCGAAAAATAATAATTATACATGCCATAATTCTTAATTTACATAAATCTCATCTACTCTACTACAATAGTCTCTTCTACTATAGATTGCTACTCTCTTAGTCTTCAATGTAGAACACAGTCTTTAACCTGCGCGTGATAAAAATTCAACGCGCTGAGCTATTTAAAACTCAGTGGTGCCTATAAATTCACATACTTACTAAGTTGCGATAAAAAACTTACTTAAAACAAAATTACATTAAAATCATTTACAATCATAAACATTAAATTTCCAAATACATTAAATTTATAGCAAAGAAATATTCAAATAAACTATTAATTAATTAACATAAATAATTTAAATTTTTATACCATAAATCCTTTACTTAGACATTAAATCAACTGTAAATACTTTTTAGTTAATACTTTAGTTCTTTACTTAGAATATCAAATAAACTTATAATTAATAATATAAATATTTTAATTCTTTCAAATTATAAATTCATTACTTGAACATTTATTATACCAATAAATATACTATTTATTTTTAAAATCATGTACCGAAATATCATGCTTTGAAAATTCATTTGATAACATAATCATAATTTCCAAAGTAAGGTTTACTAAAATACTATGATCTCATTCGTTTAATTGCCTTACAAATATTTTCTAAGGGGCTCGCATACACTTAGGAGAAAGAGAAGCAGATAGGTTTTCATAACTTATTCAATTGCCTTTAGGGTAGCCAACCTTTTTCATAACATAGAGAGCCGGTCGCCCTAACATATGACACCCACGTTGCCTTAGCATATGATCATTAGCTTTCTTATCATAATGGCATCCAAATGCCGAGCATGCTCATCATAACATTAATAATAATCAAATCTGCATCAAATTTACACTAAGTTATATTAGAGCCCAAAATTGCTTGGTTTTAATTCTTAATTTCATAACACTTTCATAAAACTTGTTTATTCTTTAGTTTTCTTAAATTCATAATGTAAGGCTTACTTTAGAAACGTTAAGTAATTCATGAAAGCTTCATACTTAAAACATAATTCTTAACATTAGAAAATTTCTTATCATTTTGAAATTATACATTAAGGCTTACTTTAGAACTTAGTGCTCATGAAAAATTCATACTTAAACTAATTACTTAATATAAGGAAAATTTCTTCATAAATTTCCTTTTCTTTAAAAACTTTCTTAAAGTCATAATGAAATTATCACTAAAAATTCTTATCAATTTTTAAAATTTATACTTTCCTTAGTCAAAATTCAAAGCAACATACATCTTAAATATCCATTTTTTTTTAAACTCACAACATATGAAAGCTACAACATAATGCATACTTATGTCATATTATATATATATATAATATTATATATATATATATATATATTATTATAGCATAACATAAAAAAAATAATTAAGTGGAGCCTTACCACCCTAAAGTGGTCAGCCTCTTAATGAAAAACCAAGCCGGGGGAGAATTTCCTTTCTTCCAATCAAGCATGCTACATAACTCTTATGCACCAAAGTATCCATTTAAACATAGTTCCACAATAAACACTTTCAAACTTGTCTATATTTTTCATCAATAAATCCTAAACATACAAATAATCAAAGAGAAACTTCCTCACACCTGATTCTTACATTTACTTTTTATCTAATAAACCATATGTTTCAAGATATAGAAATTTATTTCCATTATTAAAATAAACTTGACCTTTGTTGAGTTCTTAAGACATAACTTGAGTTATGGGTCTCAAATTGAGTTTAAGACATAACTTGAGTTATGGGTCTCCAAATTGAGTAAAGTTAAATTCACTAGAAATCTAAGATAAAATGCTACAAATGTTATGAAGGGATCACAGCCTAGATCAATTTTTAAGATGGTAAACAAAGGCTAGGAATACAGACCAATAGTCCAAACCTGATTCAGTAGAACCAAATCAAATTTTTATTAAATTCCTACTTATCTAAACATTCAAATTAAACCAATCCAAAATCAGAGAAGTCTCAAGATATAGGGCAACAACTCTCATGAAGAACTCAGAACATAATATTTCCATTTATTAGATAATGATGTAGCTTGTAGAGATAAATACTAAGGGCAGTTACATTAACTGTATTATAATAAACATTATCTTGTATGAGTTATTTAAAACCCATGTTTATAGATGAATGTATGCAAAAACCTTCATGGTATCATAGCCACCTAGGGTTTAAACACCTTTCTTTCTTCTTCTCATTCATGGTCATCATGGCTACAGAATCTATGTCACAAACATCTCTTGTTTCTGCGTTACCTACTTCTTCTTCTTCTTCTTCAATTATTACATGTTCTTTACACACCATTCCAAATGTTTCTCATCAGATCAGTGTGTAATTAACTCCTCTCAATTATGTGCTCTGGAAAACCTAAATGCTTCCGTTACTTCGAGGATATAATCTCGACAAACATATTGACAAAGATTATGTTTCTCTATAACCCCCTTCTGCAGACTCTGCACCAAGTCCTGACTATGTTACTTGGTTTCGTGAAGATCTAATTGTGATGAGTTGGCTCAATTCTTCTCTTTCCAAGGCTTTATTATCAAGTTCTGTTGGTGCCACATCTACTTTGGAGATCTGGATGCGTCTTGAACAGAGTTTTGCAGTAGGTAATGTTGCTCAAGTTCGTCATTTAAAGAAAGCCATACACCATTTGGAACGAAATACAGATTCAATTGAAGTTTATATGCAACGTGCGAAGGCTTTGAGTAATCAACTCATGGCGCTTAACAGTCCAATTTCGAGTGATGATCTGGTCGGTGCTATTCTTGATGGTTTGGGATCTGATTATAGACCTTTCTTTCGGTCGATTGAGGCGTGACTTCAACTTCCCTCTTATGATGAGTTGTATGGCTTGCTTCTATCTGAAGAATTGCAGCAAAAGAAATATGAATCCTCTGCTTCTCCGGTTACAGCACTGCTTACAACGCGGTATCAACAGTTGGCTATGGGTCTGAATAACCAAAGTGGCAGAGGCAGACGTGGTGGACGAGGATATCGTGGTGGTGGCAGGAATGGTGGTCGATCCTAAAGTTATCAAACCTATTCTTCACCGCAGCAGCAGTTTCATGGTCAGTTTCTTAGTTCTGCTGTTTGTTTTAATTGTAATGGTTCAGGACATGTAGCAAGACAATGTCCCAGTCAACGAAAAACTTCGCTAGCTTTACAAGCATATCATACAGTTTCGGTTCCTGCTACTCCATCTCAAACTTGGAATTTTGCTTCGGTACAGCCGTCGTATCGTCCTTTGCCTCAACCCTGGATTGTTGATACTGGTGCAACGCATCATCTCACAGGTTCTCTTGGGAACTTGACTGTTGATTCTGAATATATGAATCCTGACGAGGTTACAGTAAGCAATGGTAATACGATTCCCCTCTCCCATGTAGGCAGTACAATATTGCACAATGGACATGATTTTCGTTTGAACAATATACTGTTTTCTGCTCAATCTCCATTTAGTTTATTGTCCGTTCTGAATTTTACAACTGATAACCAAGTCTCACTTGAGTTCTTTCCTGATTATTTTCTCATCAAGGATATCCCCACGAGGAAGGTCCTTCACAAAAGCCCAGTTGATCAAGGTCTTTATAAACTTTCCGCTTCTAGTTTTCCGTCGCTGCTGTTCATCATATCTTTTTTGAATCTTGGCATTCTCGTTTGGGTCATTCGCATGATGGAGCTGTTCGGTCTACTTTGAAACATAATAATATTGTTTTTTCTTCCAATAAAAAGGAACTTTGTTCTTCTTGCTGTGTCAGTAAATCACATCGTTTGTCTTTTCCAATGTCTACTTTTACTGCTTCTGCTCCTCTTGAGCTTGTTTGTTCTGATGTATGGGGTCCATCCCCTGTTTCTTCTATTAATGGCAATCGTTACTATGTTCTTTTTTACGACCACTACAGCAAGAATTCCTGGTTATATTGTCTCAAATGAAAATCATATGTGCTGTCTACTTTTATTAAATTTCAAAAATTTGTTGAGACTTTCTTCACTACTAAGATAAAGATGTTTCAGTGTGATTGGGGAGGGGAATTTCGGTCTTTGGCTGCATATTTGTCTGACAATGGGATTTCTTTGAGACTGTCTTGTCCTTATACGCCTCAGCAGAATGGCTCTGCTGAGCGCAAACATAGGCATATTGTGGAAACTGGCTTGGCTATGTTAAATTATGCTACTTTGCCTCTTGATTACTGGGATTTTGCTTTTGAAACTGCAGCTTATATTATTAATCGGCTGGTTACACCACTACTGCATACCTCGCCCTATGAGAAGTTGTTTGGAACTATGCCCTTTTGAAACTTGCAGGCTTATATTATACACTCGGCCTGGTATACACCACTTACTTGCTACCTCGCTCTATTGAAGAAACGTTGTTTTGGAACTATCGGCTGGTTACACCACTACTGCATACCTCGCCCTATGAGAAGTTGTTTGGAACTATGCCTGATTTGACTACTCTTCGCACATTTGGGTGCCTTTGTTTTCCATATTTACGTCCATACAATAAACACAAACTGGAAGATAGGTCCTCCCCATGTATTTTTCTTGGGTATAGTTTGGTGCATAAAGGCTACAAATGTTATGATGTTATGGCTAAGAGGTTGTATATTTCCAGACATGTGGTGTTTGATGAGACTCACTTTCCATTTAAATCTTTTTAGTTGCAGGTTTCTAATGTTCCCACTGCAGTACACTCAAATCCAGGGATTCTTGGCCCTCCGCCGTTCCATTTGATACCGCAACAGTCCTCGCAACGTCAACCAGTGGTTGTTTCCAATTCTACACCACTATTTACTCCATTGGTGCCCTTAACCGATTTGTCTACTGCTCCTGATTTGTCTATGTTGTTGCCGCTGTCCACGCCCCAATCTCAAGCAGATTCAGCAGGTTCTCTCCTTCCTCAACCTCTTCGTGTGGTGAATACTCATCCTATGCTTACCAGGTCAAAGACGGGTCATTCAAAACCAAAGGTTCTCTTTGTCGTTAAGCCGCCACTTCAACCAGCTACTGTGACTGAAGCTAAGAAGTATAAAGAGTGGCGAGAGGCTCTTGATAATGAACTCAATTCGTTGATTCAGCTTAGGACTTAGGAGCTTGTTGAACCACCACCTAATGCAATGTAATTGGTTGTAAATGGGTGTTTAAAGTGAAGGAGAATGCAGATGGCACTATAGAACGCTACAAGGCATAAATTATTCTAATTGATAATACTAATCTGGGTACCTCAAAAGCATAGATCTAATTGGACTTCATTGCACTTCACGCTCTAAATTTTTGATGATTTAATCAATCTTTCTTGGGTGAAACAGAGGGCTCGTTGCTAAGGGATTTCACCAGAGGCCAGGAGTAGATTTTGGAGAAACGTTTTCTCCTGTTGTAAAACTAGTTACAATTCGACTGGTGTTGAGTCTTGCTACTTCAAACAAATGGTTTGTTAAACAATATGATGTTTCAAATGCCTTTCTTCATGGCAAATTAGATGAACCAGTTTACATGCAGCAACCTCCGGGCTTTATTGATATTTCTAAACCACATTATGTATGTCGGTTACGAAAATCTCTCTATGGACTGAAACACACGCCGCGGCAATGGAATCGTTGTTTGAAAGAAGCTCTTCTACAATTTGGCTTTGTTCAATCCAAGCTTGATACATCACTATTTGTTTTTCCGAAAGGCAAAGATGTGCTAAATTGTTTGACATATGTTGATGATTTACTTTTGACAGGCAGTAGCTCTCCGTTGGAAGAACAACTACAACAATACTTGAGTTCAAAATTTTTACTCAAGGATTTAGGGAAGCTTCATTATTTTCTGGGGGTAGAAGCTCATCGGCAGAATGGTAATTTATTTTTGACTCAAGACTTTGAGGGAAGCTTCATTATTTTCTAACTACAACAATACTTGAGTTCAAAATTTTTACTCAAGGATTTAGGGAAGCTTCATTATTTTCTGGGGGTAGAAGCTCATCGGCAGAATGGTAATTTATTTTTGACTCAACGAAAGTATGTACTTGATTTGTTATGAAGAGTCAACATGGATACTTCTAAGGCTGTTTTGTACACTGATAGCCTCAAAATCAACAGTGCTGGCGACCACCTCTGCTTTTTCGGATCCCACACTGTATCGTAGTACTATTGGCAGTCTTTTGTATCTTTTGTTTACTGGGCCAGAAATCTCTTTTGCAGTAAATCGGTTAGCACAGTATATGCATAAGCCGACTGATGTATAGTGGCAGGAGGTAAAACGGGTGCTTCGTTATTTACAAGGAACAGCTGATTATGGCTTGTGTATTCAATCGTCATCTGTTAATGAACTTTCTGCATATAGTGATTCAGATTGGGCAGGGAGTTTGGAGAATCGAAAATCCACCACTGGCTTTGCGATTTATCTTGGTCGGAATCTAGTGTCATGGGTGTCCAAAAAACAGAGAAGTGTTTCACGTTCTTCAACGGAAGCGGAATACAGAGCTATTGCAAATACAACATCAGAGGTCATGTGGGTACGTAATATGCTTCAGGAATTAGGTGTTTCAACCACCATGCCTATTCTCTAGAGTGATAATTTAGGAGCAACAGCACTCACAGTAAATCCAGCATACCACAGCCGGATGAAACATGTTCAAATAAATGTTCATTTTATTCAAGACAAGGTTGAGGCAAATGAAATTCAGGTACGGTATATCTTTACAAAGATCAGATTGCTGATGTGTTGACAAAGCCATTATAAAAGCTTCGTTTTCAGTAACTCCAAGCTAAGTTGACTATCTTTCCACATCAATAGTTCAACTTGAGGGGGTGTATTAGATAATGATGTAGCTTGTAGAGATAAATACTAAGGGCAGTTACATTAGCTGTATTATAACAAACATTATCTTGTACGAGTTATTTAAAACCCATGTTTACAGATGAATGTATGCAAAAACCTTCACCATTATAGTGGTCAAAATGGGCACTCAATTCAAAGATGCATGTGGCCCGGCATAACAGAGTCAATTTGGATTTTTCAGCCATAAGTTACGCTATATTTATCCAAATTAGACACAAGAGGATGGGTTGGAAAGCTAAGAAGTAGACCTACAACTTTCATGAAGAGCTCAGACACAAATGAAAACCAAAAAGGATCGAAAAATAGTCCTTAAGCTCACCCAATAACCCATTTTCCCCAAATTCAACTTGCTTTAACCATGAAAGAACATGAAAGACAAAGTTACATGGTAGAGATTTCTACCACATACTAAATACTCATCAAACATCACCAAAGAGCATGTTATTGCAACCAAAGTTCAACAAAATGGTAGAGATTTCTACCACATACTAAATACTCATCAAACATCACCAAAGAGCATGTTATTGCAACCAAAGTTCAACAAATCAATCATTTCATACAAAATCCCAAAATACATATATGATAGCGTAAATGCACAAAATCAACAATTAAAGTAAGGTGTGTTTATGAACATTAACCTTAAAAATAACCTTTAGCAAGCTTAAATTAAAGCTGTCTAAGCTCTAACTTTGCCTTTACTCCATAGTAGAGGTTTCCCCAACCTTTGGCTTAAGTAGAGAATCTCCAAATTTCTTGAAAATAATCACCACAAATCACTTCTCAAGCACCACAAATCACTTCTCAAGCTTAATTCTCTAAGATTAATTACTTAGATCAAGTTGGGAGGGGTTCAATTTGGTGGATTTAACAAGTAAGAAGTGAAGAAAAACAAAGAAGAGAAGAAGAAGAGGAAGTTGGCGTCGAAGAGAAGAAGAAGAAGAGAAAAAGTGGTTGATCAATAATTGGAGTGGACCTTATAAAGTGATCAAAGGGTATTTTGGTCTTTTCCCATAATTGGATGGATAGGATTGAGTCAATAGTAATCTAATCTAATGGCTATAAATATTCTCCAGTTAAATTCCTTCAAAATATTATTTATCTCCACAAAATTCTTAAAGTTACTCCATAAAGTACTTCCTCAAATTTCCGTAATTACTATAACACTATAATTCACTATTCACTAATTATTTAAATTCTCCAAAAATATTCATTACTTACTCTCCATCCATAAAAATCATGCATGCATACTCCAAAAATATTAAATAAAATATAAACCATAAATAGTAATTTTTTTGAACCAAAATAATACCGATTTCCCGACCGGAGGTACTATTCATAGACCGGTGGTAATATTCATAGCCCGATAAATCACTGTCTATCCATAATTAATTATACTCAATATCGTCCTCGGGTCTAAATAAAATATTATCCCTCTCTCTGCAGCACCATTCATGACCCAATAAAATAATACTATTTTAAAATTCAAAAATTTTGGGGCGTTACAGTGCCCATACTGAACATATTAGAAGAAGCTGCAATATTATACATATACTCATATGTCAATACTTTGAGAAAACATAAATGGATTCAAACAAATAACAATCTTAAATTATGCATTTAAATTCACCTTTGGGTAATAGTTAAATACATAGCTTTATACTTTAATAGACTTTCATTGATGCGGAGCAACTTGCGAATCTTTATGCAAGTCAAGAGCAGTGACACGCCCGTGCTTCACTACAGTACACCCGTGCTTCTCTCTGGAACTCAAGGCACCCCCGTGCTTCATTTCAGCACGCCCGTGCTACTCTCTGCAGCTCAGGACAAGCCCGTGCTCATTACAGCACGACTCGTGCTGCTCTCTGGAGTCCACAGCACGCCCATGCTCATCACAGCATAACCCATGCTCATTTTTGGAATCCAGTTACGTTTTTACTCCTTAATTTATTCGATAATGCTCCATACAATATGAATGTTATCATTGGATATGCATTCATATTTACCAAGTACAATGATAAGTCTCTTTAATGCCATTGATTATAAGTAATGGTCTACCTTTGGGTAACCTCACAACGTTATAATCAATGAGCTTTCCATAACCATATGAAATGATCATTTGGATATGCATTCATATTTTTACCAAGTACTATATATATATCTCTATACCTATTGATTATAAGTTTAATGTCTTACCTTTGGGTACACCTCACAAACCGTTTATAATCAATTGATCTCAATATATATGTTCAATTTTATCTTTCATTTGTAAATTTAACGCAATCAACATATATATGATGAAACAATGAAAAGCCGCATAATTAAATTGTCTTAAATACTATCTCTATATATCTCTATATGGGCCAACTCTATCATATCATATGGTTTTTCCATTCATTAAAACAGTTGATTATGCTAAAAACTTTTATGAGCATTAATTAAGTTCTTTCAAAACTTTAATGGACATTATTACAATAAGATGTCATAAACCTTTCTTTTAAAATAACACAAGCAGTTAATTAATTTTATGATAGCATAAAGAAAAACAAAAACAGTTTTTTTTCAATTTCTATTAATTTGTCTCGTTTATAACAAGATTTTAAAAAATTAAACTTCATCTAATACGGAAAATTAATTTTCCATTAAATTATAAGCCAAATTAGAAAAATCATCCAAACCAACCTTTTTAAAACAAAGAACAAGCTCTGATTACCATATGTTACTAAACTTTAATCATTTATCCTTAGATCTATTGTTCATAGAATTTGGCCACTTAATAATGATTACACAATAAAATGGAAAGCATACTTGATCTATTAAGCTATTGAATTTACCTCGTTGGTCTGAGGGCAATTCGATTCTCACTGCTAATATTATATCTTTTTTCTGTCCACCTTGGGCCCTTTTCTGTCCGTTAAGTTCTCTCTTTAATTGGTCAGGGACAAATTTATTTAAACAGGCAACGGGAAGTTAATCTTTTTCATGTTCTCTCAAACAAATCCTAGTTCACCGCTATGAGTTTTTGAATGGTACGCCGTCGACTCTTCTCCTCTTAACATATGCTTGTTGATTTCCTTGATTCTATTATAAGTTAAGAGGAAGGGTTTAAGTTAAAAAACCTTAAACTTGGTCCTCATTCCATTAAAAGGGCCCAATAATCCATCTGTGCCTATGTCCTAAATATATATCCATCGCTGTAAACATGAGGCCACATTATAGATTAGTGTTAAAATAAAATTCTAACCATGGAAGGAATCCTCTATAGTGGGTAACTAACAGGGTATTTTTTTTTATTAATATACTCATATCAGTTGGGTCCTTAAAGGCAAAAAAAAATCGGCGAAGAACTCAGTCTCTGAGATCTACTTGAGTATTTCTGCAAAGACAACCCCTTTTCTTGCATTGGGTCTTAACATTTTTAAGTCCATATTCCTTTCACATGAAACTTAAAGTAGGAAACTTTGGCTTCCTTTTCACTATCATGATACTAAATAATATAATATATTATACAAAAATCAATGCGATTAGTACCCATATGAGCTATAAGCAGCGCAAAAGTATGAAATGACCACCAAGGTGAGCCGCGGTGGAAATATTCTCTTTAACTCATCTCACCGCTATGTGTTTGAGGTAGCCGTCACTCTCTCTTAACATATGCTGTTGATTTCCTTGATCTATTTTATAAGGTAGAGGAAGGGTATTAAAACCTTAACTGGTCCTCATTCCATTAAGCCCAATAACCATCATTTTGGGCCACCTTAATTAGAACCAGCTCTTTAATTACATAGGCCATATAGATTATTAAAATAATCTAACATGAAGATCCTCATAGGTAACTACAGGGATTTTTTATTTAAAAGTGTCTCAATCAGTTGCTCCTTGAAGCAAAAATCGGCGAAGATACTCAGTCTCTGAGTTTCTACTGAGTATTTCTGCAAGAACCCTTTCTTGCATTGGGTCTACATTTTTAGTCATATCTTCAATGAACTAAAGAA